TACACAGGGGTCGTTTCGTAGAAAAAGAGCTAGGGGAACTCATTAGCATAACTCGTTAGCATATGCCACACATCCTGACATCACCGGAAGTGTGTCATAAGGCCACACCCCCTGACATCACTGGAAATGTGTCATAAGGCCACACACCCCACCCCCGACAGTCCCGGCCGCCACCGCCGGCCTTGCAGCTCCACTGCCGAGCCCCATGAGGGGCCTGGCGGTGGACCTGCAAGGCCGGCGGGAGTGCAAGGAAGCCCCGCGAAGGCCTTCCCTGGCCCCAGGCAGGCAGGGGTGGGGAGAGGCAGGGAGGAAGCAACTTACCCTCCCTCTTCTCCTGCCTCCTCCTGGCTAAATGAGGGCCAGAAGCGGGGCGGCCGGAAGCAGGGGGCGGGGCTTCATGTGCCCCACCCCCCATACCTCACCCGGGGGAACTGCGATCCCCCGCGTTCCCCCCCGAAATGACCTCTGACTGTACAGGGAGTCTAGTTTTGAACAGGAAAATGAAATGGGGGTATGCCTTCCCATAGTGATTCCTCCGGCGGCTAACTTGTTACCATTTAGGCACCAAGTAAAACTTTTCCATTTGCACAGGAATTTTGTTTAATATACTGATGCTGTTTTCCTACACCCTCATTTTAGAATTCTATGTTTTCACATTACAGTTCTACAAGGGTTTATCTGCTTTTTATATGCTTCATTGAATTGTTAATCTGTTGTTTTTAAACCACTGTTTTATTGTTCTATTTATTTATTGAGATGAACTTCTGTAGTTTGATATTTTAATTTTTGTAAGCTTCCTTGATTATCTTTTTAATGGACAATGCAGCTATTAATAATCTAAATGAGGAAACAGTGGGAGCATCAGGTGTTCTTTATTTATTTATTCGATTTGATATCCCGCCCTAACCCCTAAGGGTCTCTGGGCAGCTTACAGAGGGTGCTAATCACATTTACAGAATCTAACCTAGGGCCACAGACATACAGGGGTGGTGACTACCCTACCAGGCACCCTTTTTGCGGCAGATCTTCGGTTGTTGTTCGTGCGGGCGGTAGTCGTCGGCGTCCTTCTGGTGCTGGTCTTTGGAGTTCCCTTCTTCCGGCTGTAGCGATTCAATTTCCAGGCCAGGATCACTCGCACTTCCGCGCATGCTCCGCTGCGGCCTCTGTCCCGATGAGGCTCCAGCCTGCTGCGTTGCTCCGCCTCCGCGCCAGTTGGTCCGGCCTCCTTCGCTCACTCGCTCGCTCCTTGCCTCCCCAGCCACCATTTTTCTCCGTTGCCACCACCACTGCTTCGCTTTGCCGCTCGCCGCTGCAACACAGGGCTGGGTGCCCCCCCACTCTAGTAGCAGGTACCCATTAGTCTATTCGCCCTTTAAATGTGATGGTGCTTTAAGTTAAACTTCAGCCCACTCAAAACCTATTCTGTTCATGCAGGCTCCTACCAACTACACCCCCCCCCAACTTCCCTCCACCGGAGAGAATGTAAATAACAGTTGAAGTTAAATTGTTTCTCTAGAAGTTTTCCTCTATGACAGTGTTCAAACTGTTCTGAAAACTACAAGTAAGAAAGTGAATCCGTTGAGAGTAGTGGCCACACCGATTCTCAGACCCACGGTGCCTCAGCCAGGGATTGACCTTTAGTGTAGATCAATGAATCTAAATAGTGCAGAAACCCTAAAAGGAAAGGGAAGGTTGCAGAAAGATCTTGGCAGAAGTAACCTGTTAACATACTGTTTGCCCTCGGAACACTTCTGGGATAAGTATGGCTCCCCTCCTTTGTATTTCTGGACATATATGATTACTACTCAGGAGTAACTTTATCTTTAGTTATGAGGTATAAAGAACCAAAGCAAATATTAAAAAATAAGAAATTAACTCTTCTATATGTTCATGACCAGATTTTCAAATCTCATCTGGCATCTGGCATATCTATTAATTTTGTCCCACTGAACCCTGACATGGTACCCTAGACCAGAGGTGCAGAAATAACCACTATATTATTCCAACAGAAATTGGAAATGGAGTGAAAACGGCATGTCCATGATCACAGTGGCTGCACTGGATTGTGCCACCTTGCTTCCTGCTTTTCCCAATCAAAAAGAAATAAATAGTAAAAGAAAACAAGTAGCTGTGTATAGTCAAAGGTTACTGTTTTGCCACTCTAGCATAGTTCCTTTCAGAACTCCCCTGACATATAGACCAGCCCTATATTATTCCCATATCCAGAAGAGAATGAGACCCAAGTTCTGGTAAGAAAATGAACTCCCCATAGCCGTCAATGCATATTATAATATGAAATTAGTTGTGAATAACAGCAAATACTCTTCCTCTTGAGAGCTACCGTAGTATGGTGTAGTAGTTAAGTGCGTGGACTCTAATCTGGGACAACTGGGTTTGATTCCCCACTCCTCCACTTGCACCTGCTGGATGACCTTGGGCAAGCCATAGTTCTGTCAGAGCTGTTCTCTCAAGGACAGTTCTGGAAAGAGCTCTCTCAGCCCCACCTACCTCACAGGGTGTCTGTTGTAGGGAGGGGAAGGGAAAGGAGTTTGTAAGTTGCTCTGAGACTCCTTTGGGTAGTGAAGGGCAGGGTATAAATCCAATCTCTTCTTCTTCTTCTTCTTCTTCTTCTTCTTCTTCTTCTTCTTCTTCTTCTTCTTCTTCTTCTTCTTCTTCTTCTTCTTCTTCTTCTTCCTTCTTTGCTCGGGATGCAACTCTGCTTAGGACTGAACCCTTCTAAGCCCATTGGAGCCAGTGTCCTTTGAGGGGTGTTACCCTATTCAGGATTTCCTTGTGAGTTGTGATCATTCACAATGAAGAATAAATATATAAATAAGGCTGCTTACATGAAGACTGTCCTGTATTATGCTTTCACCGGAGGGTAACTCAGTCATTCCCAGTTCCTTTTTAGTGCTATGAGTCTATCAACTATATTTTGCTTTTCAATGGATTTATATGAATTGTGTTGGCTTATTCTCCAGAAACATTAATATGTAGATAATTTTCCACAGCAACATTTAGTCTGTTTGCATCTTTTCATCTGTTTTCTTCCCCTTACCCAGCTTTTCATCTGTTATTGGCATTGGATGCATTCCTCCAGTCATTTGCAGCAACTGAACATTTTCTAGAAAACATTTCATTGCATCATAATGACTAACTTCATGTCCTCTTATGTCAGCCTTGGGAGCCCAGTCTGCTCTCCTGGTTTTTATTGACACTGTGCAGCACAACACAAGATTTCTCGGTCAATAACAACCAGAGCATTATGGTCTTGGTCCCCACCCCACTTCAAATAACACATATTTTTGGTGCCTCAGATTTCAGCAGAGGGAAGTGAAAGGAAATCTACAAACAGCAGCCTGTGTGGATGTGCGCTGCTATATATTTGAGAGTATGGGAACAGCACCATGGCTTCCACTGCCAAGAAGCAAACACAGGCAAGAGGAAAGAGATGATGTTGTCCAATAGGGGGGCAGGTGCTGTGCATGGAACTCTTTCATCAGTGAATGATGTCATTAAGCCACAGTGGCACAGGTCACTAGAAGCCTGCAGCATGCTTGCCCCACCTTAACTTAAGAACATAAGAGATGCCAATGTTGGATCAGGCCAAAGGCCCATCCAGTCCAACACTCTGTGTCACACAGTGGCCAGAAATACCAGGTGCCATCAGGAGGTCCAGCAGTGGGGCCAGGACATTAGAAGCCCTCCCACTGTTGACCCCCCCAAGCACCTTGCAGCCAGTAGGGGCAGACTGTCCTCAGGCCTCCATCTACAGGACAAGCCGAAAAGAGCAGCATATCCCAGCAGAGCATATTGGTTGTACACAGTAAAAAATCTTTGTAAAATAGGAAGACATTCGCCTTTTTCAGTTGTTACATTTGAGGCACTCCTACCTGATGTATCAGGGGAGCGTGCTGTGAGTGAGCCTCCCAAGATGTGTGGTCATGATTTTGTGTGAACGGGTCAGCATGCATATTACCAAGCCTGCACAACTAACTGCAACAAACCTGCATTTCCAGTTACATGTAATTTATTGTCCTGGTCACACACACACACACATCTTGGGAGGATCACACATAGCATGCTTTCCTGATACGTCACGTCGGAGTGCCCAAAATGTAACAATTGAAAAGGGCTACTGGGAGATTTTATTTTTCCCTTGAAGGTCCCTTTCATACAGGCTCCTTAGACATACCTGAGCTGTGGTCACACACACTAAATAATCCACTTTCAATCCAATTTTTGTACACTTTCCAGCTGGATTTTACTGTGTGAACTGTCAAAATCCAGTTGGAAAGTAGATTGAAAGTGGATTATTTAGTGTGTGTGACTTCGCAGCCCTGTTTAGGCAAACAGATTTTTTTAAAGGTATCACACACCTTAAGGATAAAACGCAACAAAAAAGATCAAAATAAGTTTTGGAAAACCCAGATTAAGGCTTCATTAACTGTGGGAAGACAGTATTTTATCCATAAAAGGTGTGACGTGTTTGCCTTCAGAAGCCAAAGTGGATTACAGAGCCTGTATGAAAGGGACTGAAGTTTGCAATCTCCATCCATCGCAGTTTCAAATTGTGGTGTTTCTTTCACAGTTTTTGATCTGCATGTAGTATCGATGTATGCTCTCCCCTGGCATTTCATTGATTCTCCTGGGTGTATGTGTCACATGATGCAGTATACTGAATAGCCAATTTGAGCAGCATGATCAACAACAGAGTCACCAGGTGATACAGAAATGGTAGTAGGAAATTTCTTTGAGGCATACCTCTAGCAAGGATGCACAAAATTTGTAAGACTCACAGACTGATAAATGAAAAGGCGCTTGTCATCTCCAGTGTGAAATAACAAGATTTAAAAGTAATTAAGAATGTGGGTATCTTGTTTGCTGTAAACATCTTTATCAGTTTTAACAGCAAAGAATGTAGAATAGTATCTTCCCTGTGTCTTCACTGCCATCTAGTGATAAAAAAGCAAAAAACCCACCTATCTTTTGTTTTAAAGATCAGTATCTTCATGACTCACTTGTCCAACTATGGGAACGATCGCTTGGGTTTGTACACATTTGTCAATCTGGCCAATTTTGTTCAGAGTTGGACCAACCTGAAGCTGCAGACTCTGCCTCCTGTTCAGCTGGCTCACAAGTACTTTGAGCTGTTCCCTGAACAAAGGGACCCTCTTTGGCAGGTAAGATGACTAAAGAGGATTATGACAGGGAGTACTGCAGTAGGCAATTTGCTTAACTTTCTGTGCCATCAAATTATGTTGCATACTGTATCCTAAGCCAAAGATTGTAAAAATTCTAATATTTTTAATAGTGGGTTATTTATCTCCATCTGGTTGTTAAACACATACTCGGTTTGCTGATTAACTGTTACATATAGTTAATAGTACTTTTATTGTGCCTTATTGTTCTATCTCTCTGTTTCTTAATAACGGAATAAGATATTTCATACAGTGTAGCAGGGTATATAATAAAGATACATAACTGTACATCCTTCTTGATTTAAGACAGACTAGAAAAAAGAATTTACAGAAAGGCAATTTAAAAAAAAAATCTTGCAGTTGACATGTCCAGATATGTTGATAGCGAGGATGTTGGGGGGTTTGCCATCAAGTCACAGCTGACTTATGACAGCCCCGTAGGGTTTTTAAAGCAAGAGACTAACAGAGGTGGTTTGCCATTGCCTGCCCTCTGCGTCACGACCCTGGTATTCCTTGGGGGTCTCCCATCCAAATACGATCCAGGGCTGACCCTGCTTAGCTTCTGAGATCTGACAAGATCAGGCTAGCCTGAACTATCCAGGTCAGGGCTGAAAGTGAGATACAATCAACAAATTCAGTGTACTTCTGCCACCTGATTTTCTTTAAACTATAATCTACTAAATTCTTAACATAGTTTGGTGCAATAACAACAGTAATATTTTCTTTAAAGCAAAATCATAAAACAAGTGAATTCAAAACAAGTTGAATCCACTCTGAATGACTGAAGAGAGTGGAACAAACTGAAACCTTTACATTCTCACCTTTATTGAATTGAAATACTACATTTTAATTGTTCCATGTATGTAGTAAGCAGATAAATGTATATAAAGGTTATAGTGAATAAAATATAATACATAGCTATTTTTATTTTGCCTGTATTGTTGAAATGTCAATAGAAAGCTTCTATGTGTCAATAGGAGTGTGTGCTTTTTACTTTCCTTGCAACATGCATTCAGAACTAGACAATTTAGCTAAGGGTAGGCCAATAATGAACAAAAACAAGTACAGTGTTGGTGGTTTTATTTTCTCTTCCGCAATTTAGAATCCCTGTGATGACAAGCGGCACAGAGATATCTGGTCCAAAGAAAAAACTTGTGATCGTTTACCAAAATTCCTCGTTATAGGACCCCAGAAAACTGGTAAGTGTATATTGTATTTTAAGGAGCTTGGTAGAGAAAAGATTATCTGGCAACAACAGTGAATTAGGGCTTTTCTGCACTGTAACCCCAAGGAGACAATATGGCACAAACTTGCACTTGTGTTGCTTCACAGAGCCCACACGCTAATGTGTCTGTTTCAGATTTGTTATTGAATTCTAAAAATATATATACCGAACCAGAAAGACTGTCCCAAGTTCGCCAAGTACTGTGTTATTTACCTATCCAATATCTGTGCCTCTGTGCAGGCACTTGCCTGCCACTCTCATATATGCTTTATGTTTGTTTGTTTGTTTGTTTTAAATCTCAATGGAAAATTTCACAACCGTGCCGTATTGTCAGACAATTATGTGTGCAAGACCCGCTTGAGAACAACCAGAAATGTAGATTGACAACAAAATCTTCCCTAGTAACAGAGCCAAGTGTGGAAAACAGAAAAGCTGAAAGCCAAGCTGACGATGGGAGATTGTATAAATATAAAGACACTCTGTGAATGAATTACAAACATAAGCACAACAATTATATTGTATGAAACAATTGAAACATTTCGAAATCTTTGTTAAAGAACCCTTATATATATTTTTTTTTACAGAGCTAGGAACAAAAAGTACTTGATACAAAGGGGGAATACTATTAGTCCACAATTCCTTTGTATAAAAAACTTCAGGAGTGCAATAGTTCCACGTCATATGTGAGTACAGCTGTACACGGCTGGCTTCACTGCCACGTTCACGGTACGCTTCTTCAGATAGCTGGTACTCTTTAGCTGTGAACTGAAAATTATATTTCTATGTCATATTTACTATATTACAACATATTAACTGTTATCCCCAGTTGTCAGTACATACATACTCACTGAAATAGAGTTTCAAGAATTCTCCTTCACTAGTTTTCCATTCACTCCACTGATAGGTTCTCTTTCTGCCGATTAGGCTTCTGCAATAGTGGTGGTGATTAACACACAACATATGCCATTAAGTATGTACTGACAATCTGGAGTCACAATATTCTGACACAACTTACATCAGTCCATAATATCCTATTTTATATTTTTATTTCTAAGAATGAAGTTTCTAATAAACTGGTGGGTAAACCAAAGGAAGGAAAACTGACCTGAAATAACCTACTTGTTTACAGAATTTTATAAGAAACAACTTAAATCAAAATCAGTATTTAAACCATTAGGGATCAAGCTGTTTAATTTAAAGATCCACCTGTGTTCCTGGCGAAGTAATTCCTTCATAGCCAATGGGTGTTTCGAGTCTGCAACAAAGAGCACACCACATCTAAACTGATCTTTGTGGTTTTGAGAGGCAAAATGCTCTGTAAGTGGTTCTTCCCTTATTTGACGTTTATTTCTTGTAATGTGTTCCATAATTCTTAATTTCAATGGTCTGGTGATACTTCCAATGTATAACTTTAAACAATCACACTGGATAAAATACACAACAAAGGCACTTTCACAAGTAGAACTTGCATTACTATACACAGTTATGCCATTTAAGATGAAATTGTCACTTTCCCACATTACCTTGCAGGCTTTACTTTTCAAACAACGTCTATGCCCTACAAATTGAGTCATATCCTCCCTTATATCTGATCTAACTATGATGTCTTTAAGAGATTTAGTCCTCCTATAACCTATCCTGGGTATAAGTTGGCACCCTTCAGTATCTCCAAGAAGTGGCCAGTATTTGGTAATAATCCTTTGGTAATAATCCTTGTCAACCAAGAAGATGACGATGGGGGCTGAAGGAAAGATAAGTTTAGCCAATATGACATAACCATGATAATAGATCACAAGATGAAATTTTTATATCCTAAGTTTTGATGGGAACATTTGCTCTCCTTTAAAGTAGTGTACCTTCTTGCAACACAATTGGGTGACTCTTCAGATATTTTCAGTGTAGATACTGCTGATCAGCTGCTGCTGAAATAAGATTCAGTTCAGCAGTGACCCAAGAAAACTTAATTCAGACAGTGCTTGTTTGTGTTCCTCGAAGAGAGTATATGGTTCTTTATATATGGTTCTGTGAGCTTTTTTAGTTCTTTGCTGGTGTAAATGGGGTGAAAATCTGAAAAGTTTCAAAACAAGGGGTCTACTTCTGAAATCAGGATTTATTGTTTTGTTTCAACTTCTGGACTTTTGTTCTCTTTACAGGCACAACTGCTTTGTATTTGTTCCTGATTATGCATCCTTCCATCATTAGTAACTCCCCCAGCCCCAAAACCTTTGAGGAGGTACAGTTCTTTAATAGAAATAACTACCACAGGGGGATTGATTGGTAAGATGGGTTACTAGTATAAATCTAAAAATTTCTATATTGTGCACAATACAAAAAAATGGCATGACCATACCTAATGTGAGTGTATATATGCAAATTAAAATGGGCTTTAATTGCTCTTCTAAAAACCAAGTGCATGCAAATACAATAAATATCTACCTGAGTGGGTTTTTCCCCTCCTTTTGCTGACAGAAAACACCTGTAAATCTTCAACAATGAAATATTTCTAATTGAGCAAGAAGAACTCTCATTAAAATGTCAGTGTACTTTGAATGGAAAGCCACTTTCCAAACAGCTACAGTTCTGAGTCTATAGACAACCCTTTAAGCAATTTGACATTTGTTTAATAAGGTAGCAAACAGAAAAGAGATACTGCTATATTTCTTTGATTTCCACAACCGTTGGTGTTTCTTTATAAAGAATACATGGCACTGCAAGACCATTGGTTCACATCGCTCATTATTGTCTACTTAGACTGGCAGCAATTTTCAAGAGTCTTAGTCAGAAAAGGGTTTTCCCCAGTGTCTACTACGTGAGATCCTTCAATTGGCAGTGCCCAGGAGCTAGCTTGAGACCTTCTGTACCCACTAAAGCATGAGCTCTACCACGGAACAACAGCTGTTCCATTCATGTTATAACATATAGTTAAAAACCAGGAAGAACAAATGTTAGGAAAGGCTGAAGAGTCTGGGACTTTTCAGTTTAGAAAAGAGGCGATGGGGGGAGGCCATGATAGAAATTTATAAAATTATGCATGGGATGGAGAGAATTAAGATAAATTTATCTCTCTCCCCCGAAATACTAGAACTCGAGGGCATCAAATGAATCTGATGGGTAGTAGATTCAGGACAGACAAAAGGAAATACTTCTTTACACAGAAAGTGAATAAACTTTGGAGTTCACTGCTAGGGGGTGTAGTGATGGCTTCAGGAATAGAAAACTTTAAAAAGGGATTAATGGAGGAGGAGTCTTATCAGTGGCTACTAGCCATGGTGACTGAGGGGAGCCTCCACATTCAGAAGCAGAATCCCAGTGCCAGGAGGCAACATCAGGGTACAGTCTTGGCCTCTGTGCCCGGCTGTTGGGCCTCCAGGGGAACTGGTTGGCCACTGTGGGAGACAGGAAGCTGGACTAGATGGACCACTGGTCTAGTCCAGAGTGGCTCTTCTTATGTGAGAGTAATCACTTTACCCATACTTTACATGTTTCACTTGTATTACTCGTCAGCAGAACCAGAGGCAAATAGGTACAGCCGCAAACATTTCCTGAAAAGTTGCTAATTCATCAGCAGAACCAGAGGCAAATAGGTACAGCTAAAGTTGCTAATTCGTTTTCTGCAAGCCTTGCTGCAGTAGGATAGGGAAAATCAATAGAAGTCACTCTTTTCATTCTCAGAAAGGGACCCTTGGATCCAATACACTGAGATTTCTCAGGTGTTCCTTTTAAGGACAAATCCAAACTGTCTACCATGGATTCTAACATTTAGCAAGTCTAATACTGGACAGCCTATAGCTCTGTCAGTGAATCAATATGTCTACAGTGGTGAAAGCAGACATAGAAACTGAGTATGTATTGATTTCTAGGCAATGGCATACATTGTTCACCCTAACCAGGTTTGCTAGATGTCAGAGTTCATAACAGACAGTTGTTCTTTTCTACCACTACAACCTGAACCAAAGGCACCTTAAGGCAAGCCTACATCTAATACAAGACAGCTCACTCAAACAAAATTTCCTACTCTAAAGTCACTATCAAAGATAAGACCAGATGAACAGAGAGAGAAGGTGCCTTTGTAACCTTTTTTTGCTGTTTAGCAAACAACTCAAAAGTGTGTCTGTTTGACAATGGCATTGATGGCTTCAAGCATGTAAAAATGTAGCGAGTATATTGTGTTTGCTAGGAACAGTATATTTAATGTATTCAACATCACTTCCTTTCTGCACAGGGCTTACAACTTCAGAACAGTTCTAATGAACCTATTCTTTTTGTAGGTACATGGAATTCTTCCCTGTGCCATCTAATGTCACTACTGACTTTCTCTTTGAGAAGAGTGCCAACTATTTTCATTCTGAGGAAGCCCCAAAGCGAGCAGCTTCTTTGATTCCCAAGGCAAAAATCATTACCATTCTCATTGACCCATCAGATCGAGCATACTCTTGGTATCAGGTAAAAGATTTAAATCGTACAGGTTCTATATTAATATGGCCCTGACCTGGATAGTCCAGGTTAGCCCAATCTCGCCAGATCTTGGAAGCTAAGCAGGGTTGGCCCTGGTTAGAATATGGATGGGAGACCACCAAGGAATTCCAAGGTCACTACACAGAAGCAGGCAGTGGCAAACCACCTCTAAATGACTCTTGCCTTGAAAACCCAATGGGATCACCATAAGTCAGCTGCAACTTGATGGCACTTTCCACCACCACCACCAAATGATTTGCGTTTACTTTCTTAACAGGGCAATTCTATGTAAAGTTACTCCAGTCCATATTCATTTAAATCGATAGGCATAGTCTTCAGTAACTCTGCATAGGATCGTTCAGTTAGGACACATACACTATATACCCTAACTAGAAATAATGCCCGTTGCGGAAATAAATACAACGGGATCTAGAAAGAGGCTCTGGGAGAGTGCTCTGGCTTTGGGCAAACAGTGTCAGTTTCCTGTGGCGACCTCAGCAGGGTTTAATGACAGAGTCCACTGTTTTCTCCAGAGGGACTGATGTCTGCTACCTGAAGAGCATTTGTATGTTTGAGTTATCTGTAGCCCTCACCTGGAGAGTGGTAACCATTGTTACCCATTCTCCTCTCCCCTATGAGGTATGTTATGCAACTGAAAATTCCAACTGCCTTGCGGGGGGGGGAGTTTGAGGTGTGGAATGGACTGAAGTCCAATCAGCTTCCATATGCAAAAGACCAGGTTGTCACAGCAGTTGTGGTGTGGGCGGGACCCGGGCTTTGCCTTCTGATTGGTGGCGATATATGCTGAGGAGCAGTGCCATCAGCCATACACTAAGGGAGTGCATTTTAGAATTAGAATTTTGGCACCCACTACTCAATTATATATAAGGAGAGATTAGAGTCTGAAATATAAAACTGTTCAAATTTGCTGTTAAATAATTTCTAAATCAAAATTTTAGAAGAAACTACCTGTTCCTGAAGACTTGGTGATCCTTTCTTTTAATTTTTTAGTACAGATGTGATGTTTAATATATTACATACTTCTGTATAATGGAAAGATACCAACGAGTTTTTTGCCTGCTAGACTGCCTCTACCATGGTATACAATTGTTCTTCTGCTAGCATGTCTGTTTGCACAAGGGCTCACTGAAAAGCATTGACCTTGAGCAAATGGAAGTGTTAGATGAAGAAGAACTGTGCTCTATAGCAGAGGATTCTAGCATGCATAGAAGAACTTGTACATGGGATCCAAGTCATTGTTCCCTATGATTTAATCCAATATTTTTCTTGGCAAAAACATTAAAAAGTAAATATCTTTTAAGACTGTAACCTGGCCACCCTGCATAACAGTTTTTGTTTCTTCAACATATTATTTTTCCAGCATCAACGGTCACACAAGGACCCTGCTGCTCTAAAGTTTACCTTCTATCAAGTGATCACTGCTGGTCATCATGCTTCAGCAGAGCTTAAGGCTCTCCAGAAGAAATGTCTAATACCTGGATGGTACGCCACCCATATTGAAAGATGGCTAGCTTACTTTCCACCTTATCAGGTAAATAACAATCATTTCTGAAATATATCCCATACCTATTTGAGTGAGTATTGCTTGTTTCAGTTTTTCTTTTGCTATGGAATGTTGCTCTTTATGGAATTGCTTTTGAATGTAGAATGTCATCCTGTTCATCCCAAACCATGTCTGAACAATCATCTGGACCTTTTGCATATCTCAGGTAGCAGTGGCTTCATTACTAAAAGATCAGTATCATTGCCTCACTGAACTGATCAAAGAATGCCAGCCACATTTGAGCAATGCCTCCGCTTAAGAGGCCACAGTAACTTTTCTTCTCAGTTTGTATTTAAATCTTTTACTTCTCGTGTCCCTATAAATCCCACTGAGATCCCAGCAACACTGAATTGTTTGGTAAGATTTTATGTGAGAAGTCATTAGCAGTCTCCTGTTTGCTGTTCTTCTTCAGTGTTCATCTAAGATAGTGTCCAATACAAAGTGTCAGTGATTCACGGTGTAGACTTGACATGAAGCTTGGTTTCTTAGCTCTGAGTTTGGCAGTCCAACTGATTCTCCTGGGAGTTGTTCACCTGTGATAATCACAGAGGATAAAAAGCAATTAAAGAATGGCTCATGCCCAGAAAAACTGAATTCCCTGTTCTGCTTTTGACGTTGTCACCAAACTCACTGATAAGGGGAAAAGATATGTTTTATAGTTTACTTTTTTTTTCCCCCAAGCCACATTTGATTGCATTTTTCAGGGCAAATCGCATTCAGTTTCCTACTGTTAGTTCTAATTTCTCCAGGTCTTTTAGCTTTATATCTCTGTCATCACTGGTATCCCAAGCAGCTTCCAATTTAATAGCATTTCAGATTTAATTAGTGAGCCATTTACCTCTCTCCTAGATCATTAAATATGATAAATATGAATGGACTTATTACCAATCCCTGGGGCTCCTCTCTTAAAAACTGAGTTTCAGATACGTGGGGAAAAATGAGTTTGAAGTTTGACGTATAATGAATTTTAAATACATTATTCATGGCACTTTTTTTTTTTTGCAGTTACTAATTATTGATGGGCAGCAACTGAGAAATGACCCGGCTATCGTTATGGACGAAGTGCAGAAGTTTCTAGGAGTTACTCCTCATTATAATTACTCAGAAGCCCTAACGTGAGTTAATTCATTGATTTATTTAACATGGTACGCATAACGGAATAATATAAAAAGAAGCAATTTGAAGACCGTTTCTAATGGAAGGAGGAAACCAAACATGTAATTTAAAGAGGCTTTATCCCTCTATTTACTTTTTATGGGAAAAGGTCTATTTCCACATTAAGTAAGACATCACCAGGCTGATAAGAGGCGACCAGCTAGTCCATAACAACTCTGTGAGCAGTAGACAACCTCTGGGAAGAAATATTATTTCTGTGACTCAGGCTTTCAATATGCCTATGGTGACCTCCTCTGGAATGGTTACCAGGCGGACAAAGCGAAGGCTGCCTTCTGGAAATTGGTTCTGCCTTTTGTATGGACAGAAAGAGTGGAATGCCTTTCCACTTCTTTGGTCAGCAGCAAAAGATTCACCATCTTGAAGTGGGAAGGACAAGAGCTGCTGTTCTTTTAACTTGCTAGAAAGCCACAACAATGGCCAGTGTCCGGGAAACAGCACCCACTGTGTATGTCATAAATAGTCATGTACACAAAACCATTTGGATTCAAACATTTATTCACTTGCCCTTAAAATGAGATTGATAACCTTAGCCTGCTCCTTTGTGTGAGATCCCCATTGCCTGTTTTCATCAGACAGTCTCAAAAAAGAATGGTGTTCGTTCCCAGACAGTTCTGTGTTTAATGCCTCTCAGTCAATTGTGATGTTCTTTTTTTGTAGACTGCGTGGCAAAACTGACTTTATCTTCCGTGAGATAAAGTCAAGTGCATTGTAAAGACACAATGGTTCAAATTCATCCCTAGAGTAATTCTATTGAGCTTGAAAACCTCTTTTACACCATAGCCCTTGACCTGGAAGCTGTGAATTATTCCTATTTACATCTAATTCCAGAGGGTGCTTTTCTTTCCTACCTACCCTAGGCTGCAGAGAATGATTTGTTAAAAGATTACTGTTCAGAGTAACTCATTCTTCTGAGCTCTGATATGGCTCCAACAGAATTATACTCTGAATTAAACTAGCCTCATGTGTCCTTTTTTGTGTGTAATTCAGGCATACGACATAACACATACATAGTTTTTGCTTAACCTGATGGTCGGCAAACTTTTCGGCCACTCCTGGTGTGGTTTTGTCTCTTGCCTACAAAGCCTGGGAACTAATTAGAAGCACAGCCTGGGAGAGGCAGGCAGGGATGCAGGCCACCCGTGGCACCATGAGGGCCTCTCCTGCTTCTGTCAATAAGTGCCAGTAATGCCTGCTGCTGCTTGTGCCACCAAGGATACAGGTTGGCCACCCCTAGCTTTATACATTATTAAGTAATATTATGTTAATTAATTTCAGTTAACTTTTAAACTTGATTTAAAAAAAACAAACAGCAACACCAAAACAGGATACTTCTTATTTCTTTAGACACAGAATTCATTAATTTTATATGTGATGTTTTCCAAGTATACAAGCATGTTTTATTCATTTAAACCACTTCAAACCACTTTATAGCAACACATCTAGATTTAGTGTTCCCACTGATACAAATCAATCAAAAACACATTCTCCATGCAAAAATATACACACAGAGGCTTCTTATGTTAAATTTGCTATATGAAAGCGGGTAACAGTAATAGGAAGAGTCTCAGGCCTCATGAAAGGGCCCATGGGGCAGCCGGCTCCTTTCCCATACAAGGACCATTATTCACAGAAGAAGAATAAGAAAAAGAGAAGAAGAGATTGGATTTATACCCCACCCTTCATTCGGAGTCTCAGAGCGGCTTACAAACTCCCTTCCCTTCCCCACAACAGACACCCTGTGAGGTAGGCGGGGCTGAGAGAGCTCTGACAGAAACTGCTCTTTTTCGAGAACAGCTGTGCCAGAACTATGGCTTGCCCAAGGTCATCCAGCAGCTGCATGTGGAGGAGTGGGGAATCAAACCCGGTTCTCCCAGATTAGAGTCTGTGCACTTAACCACTACACCAAACCAGAAACTAGAATTGCATTCTTGGTGGCAGGAGCTACCTCATGGGCTCATTCTACAGAGCATTAAATTTCTTATGTTATCTTCATGGTTCAGGAAATAACTTCCTTGAAGAGGTTCCATTGCCACAAAGATAATGTAAAGGGGATGTCAGTCTTCTAGTGGAAGGCTTACATAAGCAATACTCATGTTTCTCTGAACTGGGTCATGTGTTAGTCTCTTAATGCGTTAATTGTGTATAAAAGCCTCTGTGCAGCTATAGAGGCCATTGACTCAGACAGCCACTGTGTGTGCTCCGTGCCCTCAAGTTGCTTCCATATTATAGTGACCCTGTGAATTAATGACCTCCAAAACACTGTATCATTAACAGCCTTGCTCAGATCTTGCAAACTGAAGGCCATGATGGCCTTCATTACGTCAATCCATCTTATGTTGGGCTTTCTTCTTTTCCTACTCTCAACTTCCCCTAGCATTACCGTCTTATCCAGTGAGTCTTGTCTTCTAGTAATGTGACCAAAATACAATAGCCTCCACTTGGTCATTATAGCGTCTAGGGAGAATTCAGGCTTGATTTGATTTCCCCATGTGAGAAAGGGCATAAATTAATATTTGATGACATCTGGATCAGTTTATGACTTGGTAGTGTTTTTACTGTTTTAATAACTGACAAATGTGTGTATTTAATGAGATGTTGTGCACTGCCCTGAACCATTGGGGGAGGGCAGTCTATAAGTCAAATTAATAATAATAATAATAATAACAACAACAACAACAACAATCTATATATCTAATAGCCAAGTTGCCCCCGGAGTGCGAATCGCTAAATCAGCGCTCCGGGGGCACTTGGGGGGGAGGGGGAGGTTTGTGCACACGTGTGCACAAAAATGCTAAAAGTAGAAAAAAAATTCGGGGGGATGTTTAAATCCCCCCGAAAGTGCTGACCTCGCCGCCTCCTCGGAGCCGGCCGGGCGGGGGGAGGACCTTTTTTTTTGGCCTCGCCGCCTCCGCCTCGGAGCCAGGGGGGGAGGACCGGCCTCGCCGCCGCCTCCTCGGGGAGATCGAGCGGGGGGGATGGAGGAGACAGAGCTCTTCTCCCCCCCCCGCGAGTATTGCGGGTCCCCGTCTTGTAATAATAATAATAATAATAACAACAACAACAACAATTAGAACCTACTTCTTTGTCTTTTTGGTAGTCCATGATAGCTGTAAAACTTTCTTCCAACACCACAGACAGCCACTACATGCACATATTGCTATCAGACCTTCTTTCGCCCTCCTTCACACAATCTATCCCACTTGCTTGTCCCATCAAGAAGAAAGCCAGCACCACTGCTGTCCACTCATTATTGTTGCCAGTCTTGTTTTTAGTCAACGGCGGTATTGGAAAGTCACTATCGAGCTGTTGCCTTCTTTGCCTTATCTAGAGTTGTCTGCTTTTACCTGTGGTTTTTTTTTTTGCCTTACAGCTTTATGCTATAGCAGCTGATGCCAAGAAAACAAAGAAGGCAAACAATCAGCCAGTGACTTTCTTGTTCCGTCTGCTAAATAAAAGCAAAACTGCTGTGACAATAGTGAGTGGGCAGTGTCAGCAGCCTTGTCTTTGCTGAGGGCATGGGGCAAGGTAGAACTGGGAGGAGATGCTCCAGCAGTGTGCAGCTACAGTATCTGGCGGCACATGTGGCCTCTGTGCATGAAGCGCCATTGGGAGGCTAATGTGTGAACTGGTGGCTGTTGATGAGGCAACAGTGAGATAAGACTTCTGTTTATATTCCCCCCCCCCTTTAATTCGCTAAATGAAAGCATTTCCAGAATTGTGTCTAAATGTGCAATATGTTTCAGGTTTGACTCACACAAAGGATTCTGGTGTCAGCTTCTGGAAGAAGGAAAAACAAAATGTCTTGGGAAAAGCAAAGGCAGAAAATACCCTCCAATGGATTCTGAGGTAAATCCTTATTCTTCAGATACGAAATGGATAAGATCCAAGCCAAAACAAACTACTTTAAAATTCCATTGGCTGCAACTGGAGAAAATTCTAAGTCATGTTTAGTGGGGGGGGGGGTTTCCTTCCTTGAAATTAAAGAGACTTAAAAGTGGTTAACTTTACTAGCTCACACTCTGTGAGTTAGAAGTAGTCAGCTTTGACAACCAAAAAGGCTACTTTGAGAATCATGGGACCTGCACTTAAGCCATGTCTGTATTATGGACAGACTTTGGGTAAGATTGAGTAAATCAGCTGGCTGTATCCAACCCCATGTGATCATATATACATAGTGTTCAGAAATGATTATGGTAAAGTTGGGCATAGTTACATTGTGGTTGTTCCAAATACTAGGTAACACTAGCCAACTTATTATTTACCTAAATGTACCAGCTAAAATTACTCTCTAGCTTTTCTTGCAGAAGGACTACCACATGTTCTTTATGTTTGCTCTCTTCCTGACAATTACCAATGATTACATTTTCAACAAGAGAGCAGTCATTATGCCTTTGACCCAGTACATTTTCTTTTCAGGTGTTGCTCTCACTGTTTTGTTTTGAGGATGAGACAGGACAGGCATCTCCACAAGGCATACATGGCTTGTCACATAGGCTTTGAAAAGACTGTGTGATGTATGCCAGTGAAGGTGAAGGTTTGGGGATCCAGGAAAAATTGCTAATGAGAATGGAAGCTGTTTGATTCATAAACTTTGAGAACCACTGATCTGGTGCATTTTTATCCTGTCCTAATGTTCTCTGCTCTTTTATTTTACCCTAACAGCTAAGTGAAGTAGGTTAGACTAATGGAGAGTAAGTTGCTTAAGGGCACCCAACAGTAAGGTCTGAGTGGGGTTGGGCTGGCAGCTTCATATATTCTTGTTTATAAACATGCACTGGCTTTTAGTGGAACATAAGAAATACCACAGTGGCTATTCTGTAGTACACAAATCTTAAATTATTTATACCATCTTGCCCACTCTTGACATGAAAAATGTTAGACCCCCTAGCAGGGTCGAACCTAATTAAAAGCCTACACAACACCTCCTTTATTCCATCTTAAAACAGTTGCATTCAAACTCACCCACAAATCCACTGGGGGATGCATGGAACAGCTGTGGCCCTTTCAAAGGCAGACAAAATTCCACTGATCAGCTGTTTGCAGTGAAGTTAATCCTGTCCTCCTGCTGCCTCTATTGTTCAGCAGAATTTAATCTTTTGGAAAAGGATTCATGTACATCATCCCAATTGTTGGACTGGAAAGGAACTGGTTGCTCATGCAAACCCTATGAAGTTTGGAATAAACACTGGAGTCTGCTTCCATGCGCATACAGAGTCCTGAGCTGGACTGAGGAGTGTGATTCCTCAGTTCTACATGTGCTTTGAAAAAAAAAAAAAGAGCCATATAAGAGCCACTGTAGCATTTTACCAACTAACAATATCTGCTTTTGTATCCCATCAGTGCAGGGCTTTTCTGTCAAGCTACTACAGAGATCACAATGTGGAACTGTCAAAGCTCCTACACAAACTGGGACAACCCCTGCCATCATGGTTGAGACAGGAGCTGCAGAAAGTGAGATAGCACTGAAAGAAAGCTTGTCGAGAATGCTTCTCTTCACTTCATATGTCTTCAGACCTAAAGTCCTCCAGTAGCTACTAGAAAGCTATTGGGAATATATCTCTTCAAAAGAGAACAAAAGAATTCGGTTACTGCCATATCCTGGCAAGAGAACTGTGAAAATGTGTGTACTTGAGCATCACAGATCTAGAGGCCCCCAGTGTTTCCTAACAATTTTTTGCATTTCTGGAAGCAGAGATAGGGCACAATCAACCAAGGAGCTGTGATCTTGCTTTACTCCTATTCATTTCCGTGGGGGTAGCATAGGAGAAATTTGGGTGGACTGAGACTGCTGTTCACACATTGTTAACAACAATTGGTCTAGACTTCAAAAGGAAAGCTACACAACTATCCAAATCACAGTAATATTTACAGTTTTATATTATATATCTATCTATCTATCAGTTTAAGAATATTGTGACATATGTTGATTTTGTAGCCCACTGCTTGCCCGTTCAGTTTTCAGGTTGTTTGAGTACCATGATGTGTCTTATATGTTTTTTTTTTTAAGAAAAAGAAAATATGAGAAAATATGTAGCACAAAATACCAGACAGATGCCCAACTTTGCAATCTGATTCAAAATGTGGAACTAGACATTTAAAGAACTCATATAGTCGCAAATAGAATCACATGCTATTTTGGAGTACACAACTACTGAGAAAATGTACCATGAGCTGTATCAGTAAGCAGCACTGCAGAGAAGAAATTACATTATGGATCTAATTTGTGTTTCATTGTGAGCTATCTGAGGATGGTTGTAGCACTGTATCTTCTGCTTAACAGATGACTGTTGGAAGAGGGAAAGCGTTGTCATTGTTGATTTCCCCTCTACCCTCATGAATTCAGTACATGCCGTTGTCTTGTGCTCAAGGATCAGGGCCAGAACTGTGCATGCAGTGAGGGAAGCTAGATACAGAGGACTCCCTTTAAGCACAGTTTCTTCTTCATTCCACTTGCCCTCTGTTGGATCACGGCATTTAACTGCTCCAAAATCCAGGCAGGAACAAGATTTTACAAGATTTTGCTAAGTGCATTTGCATACAGCAAACAAGAACATGTGCAAAGGAACCAAGTGGGTTTCATAGCTTGGATCCTGTGAACAAGCCTTGTGTGTGCTCGACAGCCCCTGCCCTACAGCATACTTCCTCTTAGATTAGCACTCTCATTTCCACAAGGTCAGTGGTTTTCAGTGCGCATACAGAGAGTACCTAATGCACAGGAAACTTGCTGAAAACAGTATTTTGATAGATCAAGATGGGTAGCCATGTTAGCCTGTCTGTAACATGGCTACCCGTCTTGATCTGTCTCCATGGAAGGCACTACATTTAGCTGTACTGAATGGAAGTTCATCAAACTTGTAAAGGTATCTGAAGAAGTGAGCAGTGACTCACAAAAGCTCATACTCTGCCACATATTTTGTTAGTCTTTAAGGTGCTACTGGACTCTTGGTCTTTTCTACAGTATTTTTATGAGGGAGGTACAATCCAAATATTAAAAGTACTAGGCTCAAATATGTGAACTGCCTTATGCCTAAATCTGTGCTGCTGATTGCTAAGACACCATCAAATCAGATTTTTTTATGGTCTTTACTATGTGTGAAAATGTTCACCAGTCAAGGAAATACATTAGATATTAAATTTTTAAACCTTATAAAATTAATATAAGGGGGAAAATTGAGAAGTTGCCAACAAAGTTTTTGAAAATGTTTCAAATTGTTTACAGTGATATTTTGAAGGACTAGAACACTGAAACTTCTAGAAAATGCTAGTTAATATTATAAATCAAATTTACTATACTGATATTTGAGTCAGAATTATATGGCTAGATCACTAACCAATATACCAAGCTACTAGAAATTAAAGAAATTATGTACCTTTGAAGTACAGTTTTCTGTGCCACACAGTTTTCAGTTCCCATTTTTTCATTGGTAATAGTATGTCCCAATGAACTCAGCACACAGAACTGGCCAAATTGTGCCCCATTTAGAAGTACTACATGGATGAGGAGGCCTCTTTAGCCTTCTGTTTTCATAAGTGACACAAATTTGTGAAAATTAGCCCTTCAAGAAGAAAAGCAGTCTGGAAAAAGACGTTTTCCAAGAATTCCTGTTGTATCCCTGACCTTGTTGCTTTATTAGAAATGTAAAATTGGATATGACATACACTGTATTTTTTTCATCTATTAAGAAGGATTCTCTGCGGCAATGTGGTCATTTTGTCCAGTATCCTGCCACACAGAGCTGTAAGAGCTTCCTTTGAAGGAATGGCTGACAAACTGTATTCTGGAGAAGCTTGGCATTCCTCACTGAGAAGATGGCAACAGATGCTTCCTTAAAAGGCAAGCTGAAACACACCATGGATGTTCCCTTGAAAAGGGTAGACAGAGAGAAGTAATGGCTGTCTCCTAGGCCAAGATCTCAATCCACGTGGGCCAGTGGTGAGATCCAACAGGCCTGGCCTCTGCCCACATAAATGGAGGTTAAAGAGGACCATGTCTGTCAAGGATGAAGTACATAAAGGTCCCACGTTCAATTGTTGGCAATTGGCACCTCTAGTGCTAAACGTTTTTGTGCCTGAGACCTCTGCCAGCCAAGGAATAGACAGCACTGAGCTAGGCAGGTCAATGGTCTGATTCACTGCAAAGCAGCCTCATATATTCATATGAGGCTGCCATCATACGCACAATTAGACCCAACATAGGTGCGAATGCCGGGCAGATTTAAAGGGCGCGATCAGACAACATCTGGGAAGCGCCCCACAGCCATCAGCAACCCGTTCTGCTCCACTGCAGAAGCAGAGTTAAAAGACACAAGGGAAAATCTGATAGTAAATGGGTTGCATTGAGCCACGGATGGACTTTCCCGTCTCTGACCACTCCAGTGCGCTCTCATGGCGTCGGGATGGTCTGATCAGGCCAGCCTGTGTTCCCCCCCCCCTTGCAGTATGCGCATCATCACAAACTCCATAGGGAGCCCTCAGTGCGGAGGTGCGATTCATCGATCCCTCGGTTAAGTGCAAGGGGGGGAAATGGCACACACACACAAAAAGACTCACCCGCAGCTTCAAAGAGGGGAGGTTTGATTGTGCAACTGCGGGTCAAATTCCTCCAGAGGAAATAGCCTCGCTCCCCCCCCCCATTTTTTCTGGCTCGTGTGACCACAACCTTAGTGTACCTTCGGATATCCTTTGCAATGCACATGGGTTCTGTGACAAACTCAGAGGTTCCTCAGCAGATGAGTTAATGTGAGCAAGATTCATTCCCTAAAGGCAGAAAGACTACACCTCTAAAGCATCCAGATATTCACACAGGTATTCAGTGCATCAGCTGCTTAGACAACACAAAAAGTTCTATCAAACTGTTCCTTTGCACCTTTAACATATTTATTGTGAAAACTCATTGATACAACTTTGAATGCAGGTTTGTCCCAAATAACTGTTAAAAGTAAAAATCCAGGGTCATCTAGTCCATCTAGTCAGTGTGATTGTTTGCAGGATGAAACATTAAAAGGGAACAGATGACTTTTTTAGATGATGTTTACGCTGATCTTAGCCATAAGGCCGAGAAACATTAAGTGGAGGCTAAAAATTGGAAGTCAGTCAGTCAGTCTGAACAAATACATGTGCTTCTGCTGCAGCATTTGCCCACATGATAAGGAATTAAACTAATTTCCAGAATATATTGTACAGATTATACTTTATTATTGTTTTAAAATGTGAAACTTCCTCAGGAAGAACAAAATAGATATTTCAGTGTTTATAGATGTAATATTATTCTCATTCACATTGAATGAAAATTGCTGGAAATGTTTTTTTCCTGAAATTTTTTAAATAAAATAAAACTAGACATTCTGATAGTGGCATGATTTCTGCTGTGCGACAATAAACTCTGATAAGAAAACAACTTTGCCACTTGGTAGTGATTTTATTCTATTGCAGATTCTTTCACTCCCCCCCCCCCCAGCATTTATGGAATCTTGACATCAAGATAATGCTCTACAGAAACAACTGCCTAGAGGAGTTTTAAAAAAAAAAGCTGCCTGCTGTTCTGATGTGAATCACATTATTCTGTGTGGCTGCTTCTTTTATAGCCTTGTCATTTACCTTTTCATCTTGGGTGCCAGCATTTTTCACGTGTGCTGCAGTAACAATTCCATACCGTTGTGATAAAGGGAAGCAGCAGTGAAACTTACAAAAATTTCTTTGAACAGTAATACACGATACAGGAAAAAAGCCTAGCGCTTTGCGCTATCAGAAATGAGAGATGTAACAGCCTTGTGCGGCCTGAACTGAAACTGTTTAGACAGCATCATATGGGTGTGAGCCATAGTTCAGTAGTAGTAGAAACCATTATCTTCATACAGCAGGCCCCATTTCTAGATATGATTTTAAGTTATAACTAGCTGTTACAAATAAGGGCTTTTGTTTCACCAAAACAACCACCACTACCAATAGCCCTGCAGCTTCTCTTCTTCTTTCTCTTCCAATAACATCTACCAAACCAAAGAAATATGACATGATGGGGAGTGGAGGGGGGACCACAGCTCAGTGGTACAGTATCTGCATGGAGTGCAGCAGGTCTTCGGTTCAATCTCTAACAACTCCAGTAATAAGGGTCAGGTAATTGGTGGTGTGGAAGACCTTTACTTGAGAGACCCTGGAGAGCCACTGGTAATCTGAATAGACAATATGGAACCGGATGGACCAATGGTCTGATTCAGTATAAGGCAGCTCCGTATGTTCATATCCCTGAGCTATTTCTCTTTCCTGTTCATTGGCAGTTAGGTATAGCAGTGGCTGTCATGTGACCCAGTGCTGTCATGTATTGCATTTTCTATTGTGACATGTTAATGAGGGAGTCAGGAGGAGGAATTGTGGAGCTATTCTTTCCAGGATGTTTTCTGTAAAATCTAGCTCTGACTTTGCATAGCAAAGCAGATTGTTCAACATGAGGCTGCAGTCCTACA